ATTAACTCAAAATGAATCAGAGACCTACATGCAGAACTAAAACTTTTAGGAAAAAACTTAGGAGGAAATTTCAGAGATCTATGGGTAAGCAGAGTTCTTTGATTGGACAGCAAAAGCATGATACATAAAAGGAAAAAAATGATAAATTTGGTTTCATCAAATTAAAAACTTTTGCTCTGTGAATGACCCTGAAAGAGAATAAAAAGACAAGCAACAGACTGGGAGAAAATATTTGCAAACCAAATATATGACAAATAGCTTGTATCTAGAAACATAAACCATCCTCAAAACTCAACAATAAAAAAAAAAAACAACAAAAAACAATCCAATTGGGAAATGGGTGAAAGATATGAATAGACATTTCACTGAAAAGGATATATAAAAGGCAAACTAGCTTGTGAAAAGTTGTTCAACCTCACAAGCCATTAGAGAAACACAAATTAAAACCCAAACGAAGATGGCTCGGTGGCTTAGCCTGTAATCCTGTGCTTTGGGAGGCTGAGGTGAGTGGATTGCCTGGGCAATTTGGCGAGACCTCATCACTACAATTAATAAAAAAAAAAAAAAAATTAGCCGAGTGTGGTAGCAAGCGCCTGTAGTTCCAGCTACTTGAAAGGCTGAGGTGGAAGGATCGCCAGAGCCCAGCAGGTAGGCTGCAGTCACTGGGAGTGTGCTACTGCACTCCAAGTCTGGGTGACAGAGTGAGACTCCAACTCAAAAAAAAAAACAACAAAAACCAAACAAGAGCTCACTACAAACCTACTAACATGACTAAGATAAAACATAGTGGTTTGCCTTATAAACATTCTTTTCTATATGCAGTGCATCATCTAATGCTCACACTGATCTCTAGCGAACTTTGCCAAAGCCATCATGGGACCCATGTGCACAACTGCAAAGCTTCCAGAGGTTTCTGATTAGAGGAGCAACTTAGACCTTTGGAAGGGATCCTGGTGGGGGTGGTTCCCTGGTCTCACTCACCTGCCTCATAGTGCAACAATCCTCTCACAGGCCTGGATGGTTCTAGAACACACTTATAGAAAATAACATTGATATGTTGCTCCCTTGGGGTTTTTTTTCCCTTGGCCAGCGAAACTGAGGACTATGAATGTACAGGTGAGTGAGACCAGGGCCTATAGGCTTAGTGGGCCATAGAGAGTCCTAAAATGAACAAGAAAGGTAGACTTGGTGATTTATAGTTTCACTTGAGAAGCTGTGACATAACTCTAAAGTAAGTTTCTTAAGTTTATTTGAAAATGTTAATCTCATGTGACCTGTTAAGAAAAACAGGCATAAAAGAAAAAGCACTGTTGACTTTTGCAGGTCTGCACAAATAGACTAGCCCGTCCTTGTGAATGAACTTTGTTTCATTTCTTGTTGCTCTGCACTTGCATTTATTTTGAAGAGAAGATTGGCGGAGAGAGAAACAACACTTAAAGCAATAGTGAGTTATATAGAATTTGATAATATGAATCAAGAGCCATAAAAGTGTCCATAGTATAATTTAAAAATTCAATTTGGGGGAACTTAACCTATGAAATTAATTTAGAATATGAAAAAGCCACATACACACTATTCATTTATACATTGCTAAGTTATTGGTGGGCATAAAAATTTGGAAGTGATCTTGATGGCCTATAAGAAAGATTATTAAATTCCTATTCAATAAACTATTGTATACCTTTAAAAATATTGATTATGAAGATTATGTGGCAACATGGAAAATGCTTATAATATCCTGCCTTAAGAGAAAAGAGCTGAAGATTACATCACCCAAATGGAAAAGATGGAAAGGAGATATATCAAATGTTAACAGCTGTGTTTGGGTAATAGGATGATGAGTCAGTTTTTTTCTTCCTTTTCTCTCATGATTATTTTAATTGGTTTCCAATTTTATAAATTTTATAAATTGGAAACCAATTAAAAGCACCTAAATTAAAAGGCCCAAAACTTAAAGCTAAAAAGAAGGAACTGGGCTTGAATAGCTTCATAAGGGATTTTACACAGGACAAATTCTCCAACAGTTATTGCAGTTTGTGAAGGGATTGCAATTATTCTGAGAGTGATTGAGGTGGTTGGAAAAACAGTGGAATAATAGCACAAGAAACTAGACCCTCCCACCCCCAGCTGCCAGTAATTCAACCTAGGGCTTCAAGAACCGATTTCTGCCCATTCAAAATGTGTTTGGCCCTGGAGACTGCCTCCCCTAGGCCATTGTGATGGTGATGGCCTGGTCTCCTCAACAGCTCCCAGAGGACTAGGCACTTACTGGCAGGGCCAGGCAGCTGTCTGGCTTGGGGTTGCTGGTCGTCAGAGACTCGAAGCCTGTGCAATGTTGACCTGGAGGTGAACAGTCCCTTTTCTTTTACCTATTCCCCAGAGGCAACAGCCCCTCATTAGGGTACAGTTTCTAATCCAAACAACCATTAATCTTTCTCAGGGTTAAAAGGCCAGAAAAGCAATTTTTACTCTCTCTTTCTATTTTGATACTGTACTTGTCTGTATTTTACAAGAGCAGACTTACTTCACTGACCACTTGAAAACATCCCACAGCTGTGTCCACAGCTACTCAAACAATGCCAAGCCCAACACAGCCCTTCCTGTGCACAGAGAAGGGACAGGAGTGCAAAATGAGTTAGCTATTTATTGTGGCCCCCGACAAAAAAATCACAGAAACATGACCTACTTGGAACATATTAGTACTTTGTATCACGAAATAAGTTAGGAATGTGCATGTATTTTAAGTGAAAATGCCACTGTATATGATGGCTTTATGAAAGTGGCATTTTACTAACTCTTGAATACCAATCTATTAATTTTTCTTGCCTTGCCAAGTAAATTAATTAAATGGAGCTGTGACTCCTAAGAATTTTTCTCAAAGGAGATCAACAGAAAAATAGAATATGAAATTAGAACAGTACCCTTAATTGTTTCTGAAACATGAAAGCTGTTTGGTTTGCAGAAATGGGCTGAACCTCCTAATAGCTGCTAAGTCACATCTTTTCCATACTCTCTAACAGCCAAAATGATGGGTATCAAGATAAAAAAACTTCCTAAATCTGTTTTTCCATGCTTGACCTTTAAATTCTTCGTCTATAGCAGTCATCATCAATATGAATACCAAACACTCTCTTGCTGAGTCACATGTAGACATCTGGCTAGCAAAGACATTAAGCGTTAAAGAGAGAGAATGCACTTTTGTATCTCAAATTATTTTACATTGAATTTCCCAAATTTAAAATCTTACATCAAGGACCAGATAATACATAAAATCCAGTTATAGCCTTTTCAAGCTGGAAGAGGCACTGGTGGAATGAAGTATGAAGTAAGACTCAGACAAGGTTAGAACAAAACCCAGGATCCTTAATCTCTTGTCTAATGCTCCTCTAAAAAGTCATATCACTTTGCAGAATACATTGAGTTCTCTATCTTACCTGGACTGTTTTTGGGATGGTGGTGGTGAGGGGAAAAAAATCCCCACATGTATATGAAGATTTTGCTATGCCAAATGTATTTTGAGACACTCATTAACAACTTTTGCTAAAGTTTCTTGAAGAATCTCAGCTCAGCAAAGTTTAACTGTTTTCTGCCTCATTCACTCTCAGTCTTCAAGATTCTCCTGAAAAGCTGGAAGGAATTTTAGTTAGCTATGGACTGCAAGGTGTGGCTGAAATTCTGTTGGTACTTTTATCCTTTTTCTTTCTTTCTCTTTTTCTTTTTTCTTGGTACTTTCATATGCTTGCCTTTTGGGCACTTGGTGTAAGAATTTGAATGTTCTGTCAGAATTAAAATTATACCTTAATGATACAATTTCTAAGTAAAAAATGTACACATATATATAGCTATCTACATGCAACATATATTTGTGCCTACAAAATTACTGGAAAAACTTATACAACATTTTAAAATAACTATCTTTTGGATGGTACACTATGAATGATTATTTTATTTTGTGTTTATCTTTGTAATACCAGTTTTGAGTACTGAACACATTTTAGGTTTTTAATTAGTGGAAACCCCTAATAAATATTATTTTAAAATCTCAATAAAGTAAAGCACTTTTTGTAGATAAAATGGCCTTTGCAGGTTGAATGGCACAATAATGCTTTTCTTATGTGTTTTTAAAAATCCTGATGTAATTATATGTACATTACTCATTGATAAGGTTAAAACTTTAACTTGATTTAAAACATGAGTGAATCTGCAAGTACACTGAGATTTATGTTGCCAAAGCTTCAGAAGACAAACCTCAGTGTGTGAACCTTTGTGAGGAGAAATGAACCCTATAGGTTTCTGCTTTCTAGGAATAACAAGGAGGAAAATTATCACACTACTTAAATTCTATTTGCAAGACTGAAATCTGCAAACCACAAAAATGCTTGATTTTGCATTAATTTATTGAGAGCACCAGAAACATTTTTCCAAAGAAGAAATTATAATGCAGGATGTTGGTGTCTTTATCAAAAGAACAAGTTATTCACCAAAGGATTGGTTCTTAATATTTTACCCCTTTGGATTTGTTTTTACACTCTAAATATGAATTTATAGGTTTTTATAAAATAAGATGAATCTGACTTACAACAGTAAAACGATATTTTTCTTTCTTCTTCCCTTTTAAGATTAGAAAAGTAATATACGCTTGTTGTAATAAATCCAAAATACAAAAATTCATAAAAAGTGAAAGTATAAAATATAAAGTGAGTATGTTCTCTTAATTCTCCACAGCCCAAATTCCACTTCTCCAGTGATAACTTTTAATATTTTGTTGTGCATCTTTCTTTTCTATGTATATATAGATGTATGCTTATATATAATGGAAAAAATAAAAATCAGACCATACTAATATATACTTTGTCTGCAACTTGCTTTTTGCCAACTTACCAGTGTATCATAGACATATTTTCAACAGATTTACTTTATCTTTATCAATAACACCATAGTATTCCACTGTTTAATATACAACGATTTATTTATCTATATACCACTAATGAATATTTAGGTTGTTTCACATTTTTTATTATTAGAAAAAGTGCTGCCAGAGACATTCCTGCAATATATTTTTTTTACATATTTGTGATAGTGTTTCTATAGGGATAAGTTTCTAGACATGCAATTAGTTATATTTAAGTTTTTTTAGATACTGAGTATTTGCGCATTTGCTAATGGAGGAGGGGCAGAGTTTCTGTGGGGTTTGGGCCAGAAACACCCCTGAAGTGTCACCCAAGGGTCTGACATAGGGGGCATCTGTCCCACCTCTTTTATGGAAGTAACTTGACTCCAAGCATCAGGGAATTTCCTGCAGGATAAATTTATATCACATTCAAATTGGTAACATTTAAGTTATGTGTAGAGATAAAAAGACACAGCGCCAGGTAGATCAATGTTTGTTTTCAGAACTACAGTGGCCAGTGGTCATTCTTTCAGTCAAAATGTCAATTAATACAGTTTCATTGAAGCTTCAAACAGAGCAGAGAGATCCTCTTCTGACTGGGGACGGGGTGCAAGCTTGGTGACCCTTTCCTGAAACAGTAAATAAAAGGAGTTACCCCAGGGTTGGGAAAAGGCAGTTTGTAAAAGCAATAAGGTTATATAAATTAACCTGGTCATAAGAACCAATGACTTGACAATAGTCGTATCTTTAAAAATGGTATTTCTTATGTGTTTCGTACTAGCTCATCACCAACTCAGAGGTTTATCAAGTAATGAGTCTTCCTCACAAAGCTTTTGCAAGCCATCGCTCCTTGCCGTATGCCCTGGCAACAGCCTTCTGCCCAAACATGCAGAACCAAACCAATCACAGGGAAAAACATCTCTTATAATGACCAAACTAGGTCAGTCGACAACCTCTGCCAGGTTCCCTGTGCACAAAGAGCTCTGTCCCTGGCACAACAAGTGCCGCCAAGAAGAGAGACCTGGGTTGTCCTTGACTCCCAAGACCATATATTATGCAACATGGACTTAAGGCATATTCCAAAGGACTTCCGTAGAACATTAACTTTCAGGCTATGTGCAACAAGGGGCTCCTTTTTTTCTATTAACTAAGGTTTTATCTCTATTTTCCCAAGTAAATTTAGTGATTTGCTTAATGTCTCCAACAATTATTATGAGTCAAGTCAGTGAAGGCAGCCAGCACATTTTGCTCTTGACTCTCCGGTCAGTAGCACCTTTATCATAAAAGATATGACGATCCTGGGGCCTACATGAAATGAAGAAATGTGTCATTTGGGAGTTCCATTTCCATGGGTGTCTGGGTGTGTTTCCTGGTGATGGCTCGTGTTTGGGAGCATGCCCAGTGGAAGGGGGGAGCTTGTGAGGACAGGGGCTCAGCTATGTTCACTGCTCTCTGGCCTGTGCCTACCAAAGTGCTTGACACACAGCAAATAAGGGAGGGGGATGTTGGCATCTCAAAGTTCTCTTATACAAGATAGAACTCTGACTCGCAGCCCCCCTTCCCATTTTCTCATCTCAGAAGTAGCAGCTCAGGCAAAAACCTAGGAGTCAGCCTGGATTCCTCTTTCTCTTGCCCTGCAGGTTCACCCTATCAGCAAGTCTATGAGATCCACCGCCAAAATCAAGCCAGTCGGAGCACTTCTACACGTCCCCTTGTACCACTACCGAAGTCTGGGGCATAACTGTCACTCCGCTGTTCTAGGAAGTGGCTCCTAAATGGTCCGTTCCACTGTCGCCCCCTAGAGGTCATTCTTTCCACGGCAGCCCGCGTGATTTTTAACATTTTTATTTCCCTAGTATAAAAATCTGATCCTGTGCTTAATGCTCTTGGATAACTTCCTGTTTCAGTTAGAACATGGCCTCTAAGGTTGTCCTGATCTGGTCCTGTTTCTCACCCCAGCTCTGACTCCTCTCCCACGGATTCTACAAACCCTTTTTAAGTCCCAGGAGCATACTAACCTTGACCCTGCCTCAGGGCCTTTCCCCCCTCTTTCTGGAAGGCTTCTTCCAGTCTTCATGTGCCTTCTCACAGTCCTCTCTGGAGTTCCCTCCACACTGTCCCTGAGAGATACTGTCTCATTACCCAGGTTTTCCTTCATACCGCTAGTCATTACCTAAGTGATTTCATTTAAATCTTTTTTATAGATGTTCATTGTCTGCCTCCCCTCACTATAATGTAAGCTCTACAAGGGAGACAAAAGACTTTATTTTCATCCTCACTGTATCCCATACAATGCATGGTATATAGAATCTCCAGTATTGGTCAGGTAAAAGAATAAATGAAAAGAAGGAAGGATGTGTAAAAAATTAACTCAGATGGATCAAAAAAAACCTCAATGTAAGAGCTACCCCCATGTAAGAGCTACCTCAATGTAACCCTACAACTCTTAGAAGAACATTCAGGGCAAAATATTCATGATTTTGGATTTGTATTTGGCAATGATTTCTTGGATATAACACCAAAAACCCAAAGAACAAAAGAAAATACAGATAAACTGAACTGAATAAAATTTAAAAACTTTTGTGCATCAAAGGACATGATTAGAAGGGCTGAAAGATAATTGACATAATGGGAGAAAACATTTGCAAATCAAATATATGATAAGGGATTAATATTCAGAATATGAAAATTATTCCCACAACTCTACAACAAAAAATCTCTGATAGCTCAATTCAAAAGTGAGCAAAGGATTTGAATAGATATTTATTAGAAAAAATAGTCAATAAGCATGTGAAAAGATGCTCAACATCATTATCATTAGGAAAATGCAAATCAGAACCCTGAAAAGATACCACTTCACACCCATTAGGATGGCTATTATGGATAAAATGGAAAATAATAAGCGTTGGTGAGGATGTAGAGAAATCGGAACCCTCGTGCATTGTTAATGGGAAATAGTGCAGCCATTAGAGAAAACAGCTTAGTAGTTCCTCAAAAAGTTAAACACAGAATTACCATATGATCCAACAATTCTATTTCTAGGTATATGCCCAAAATAATTGAAAGCAGGAACTCAAATAGATAGTTGTAACCAATATTCATGGCAGCATTATTCATAACAGCTGGAACGTGGAAACAACTCAAGTGTCCATCAACAGATAAATGGATAAATAATATGTGGTATACCCATACAATAGGATATTACTTGGCCACGGAAAAGAATAAAATTCGGACACATGTTATGACATGGTTGAACACTGAAGGCTCTACACTAGGTGAAATAAACCAGCTACAACAGGACAAATATTGTATGATTTCATTTATATGAGGCACCTAGGACAGGCAAATTCACAGAGGCAAAAAGTAGACTAGAGCTTGCCAGGGGCTGGGAGAAGGAGAAAATGGGTTTTAGTATTTAATGGATACATAATTTGTATTTGGGATGATTTTTTTTTAAGTTCCAAAAATGGATAGCTGTGGTAGTTGTACAACATTGTGAATGCACTTGATGTCACTGAACTGCACACTTAGAAATGGCTCAAATGGTAAATTTTATATTACGTATATTTTGCCACAATTATATATATATATAATTGTCTATATGAGGATGGAAAGATGAACAGATGGGAGACGAGTGGGGGACAATGCCAATGAATATGGGTGAGGCAAAGGCAAAATTTTACATCTCAGCAGATCTTTTAGAGACTCCCTAAGAAGTGTTGGAAACCCACAGCAAGGCAGAGACTTTCTCATGGTTACATATGTATATTTTTGTGAAAGGGTCAAGAACTGAAGCATTTGCTCTGACCACAGATGATCGGGACACTATTCTGTTTATAACAGGAAAGAATCTTATTGGATGAGCTCAAAGGCCCTGGACATGATCCTGTTTATAGTTGGTGAAGTAGTTCCTGACTTTCAGAAGCACTTGACACCAAGCCCGAGCGGAGTTTCTCTTTCACATTTCTGGCCCCCAAAGATTAAACAGGGCAAGGATATAAAGTTTCTGACATGTCCCTATGCATATCAGCTCTGCATATAAACACTAAACTCTCTCAGAATTAAGACGTGTTAAACAATGATGTTCTAGTATTTATAGACATGCAAGACTGACGGACAACTGATTAACATGGGCACCGAAATAAATCCAGACTTCGACTTTTAGCACAATCGTAAAAGAACAACATTTCATCTGGCCTGTCTACCAGGGAGTGGAAGTGCTCATTTGGGTAGACAGGGCTCCTCAGTAATGAAATGTTTTGATTTGAAATGTAAATGTTTTCTTCCAGAGGTTTCAGAAATTCAGCTTGGAAGATTAATTTCTTCTTGCTGGTTCCCCTTGCAGCCTGGCTATGGCTGTTGGAAGCCTCTGGACATAGGGCTGCTATTTGTTGCTACCAGTATGGGATGCGGTGTTTGGTCAAGAATACTGGCCTGGTTGTTCTTTCAAGAGAAAAACAGAGCCCTCATTGCTGAACAGAAAAGAACCTTTATCAAACATCATCTACATTGAATAACCTTTCTGACAACATTCTTTGCAGGAACCAGTATTGCGGGGGTGGGGGGGATGAAACCAGAATTATCTTTTGGTGGGCGGGCCCCTTGTAGGTAAGTGTTCTAGAAACCCACTGGCATTAGTATACCAGCCTGTGTTGTCGTGAGAGGCCATATTTGGCTTTAGTGAATTTTTTTTGGAGACTCTTTCAACCTGTTTGCCCATTTCATGGTAAGTGATTTATGAGCATACGTGCCCATACTGTGCTGAGCATTCAACAGTTTTTGACCCAAAAAATGGCATGACCCCCACACCCCACTTTCCCTATTCACCAGATCTTGTCCTGAGCGACTTGTTTTTGTTTCCCTGGATGTTTGCCGATATGGAAGAGGTAAAACAAAAAACGGCAGGCGCACTAAACACATCAAAACTGATGAGTTCAAAAACTATTTTGAACACTGGAAAAAGCATCTCCATAGGTGTATTGCATCAAACAGAGAGTACTTTCAAGGTGACTGAAATTTAAACATGCAAGAATAAATACATAATTTTTAACAGATAAATTCCACTCTTTTGGGTCCCCCCTTGTATATCCTTCTCACTACCTTAGATCCTGTAGATACTAATAAGTGAAGATTTTTGTACCGCATCTGTAAAATTCTGAAGTCACCATAGCATTCCTGTAAAACATTCACTGCTATTTAAAAAAAAAACAAAACACCAAACAAACAAATCCATAGTAGTTCTTCATCTGCAAAATGGACAGGCTTATTTCTCAGATTCCTCCCAAAGTCCTATGAATGTATATATGAATATATACATATCTCAAGTACATCAACTCTAAAATGGAACTAGTGCTAGCTAATTAAAATTATGTTTCTTCTAATCGTGAAAACACAATCAAAGAAAAAGGTAGCATACACTTTGGGGCTGCTTTATGAATACAGCCTGAGGAAAACCTGGCTTCCTGTTTTAAGACAAGATTTCTATTCAAAACATTTCATTTATCATGCATCTTTGGTGAAACTAAGAAATCTGTTTTGTCTAATTAAGGTTTTGCTATTTGTAATTTCCTAGTATGACATGTGCACTGAGGCATTCAGAATGATACCTAATTAACTATTTTAGTTGGGTGGTCTCAAATGTTAGTCTGGATCTTTTGCTGTCTGCAATAACTTTTTTTTTTTTTGGAGACAGGGTCTTTCTCTGTTGCCCAGGCTGGAGTGCAGTGGCATGATCCCAGCTCACTGCAGCCTCGACCTCCTGGGCTCAAGTGATCCTACTTCCTCAGCCTCCCCAGTAACTGGGACTACAGGTGTGGTACCATGCTTGATTACTTTTTAAAAATTAAAAAAGTTTTTTGTAGAGATGAGGTTGTCCAGACTGGTCTCAAACTCCTGGGCTCAGTGATTCTTCCACCTCGGCCTCCCAAAGTGCTAGGATTACAGGCTGAGGCACTATACCCCACCTACAATAACTTTTGAAAGTGAGTGTCTGATCACAGTAGAATTAGAAGAGTAAACACTTGCCAATGTGTGCTGATGGCTGGAAGATGCCTCGCCACCAGCAAACAAATGGCTAAGAATATCATAGTTTCTTTTTTTTTTGAGTTGGAGTCTCACTCTGTCACCCAGACTGGAGTGCAGTAGCACGCTCCCGGCCACCGCAGCCTCGACTGCTGGGCTCCGGGGATCCTTCCGCCTCAGCCTTCTAAGTAGCTGGAACTACAGGCATGTACTACCATGCCCAGCTAATTTGATTTTTCAGTTTTAATTTGTTTCTTGGCTTCCTGTCTTTGATTGAGTCCTAGTCGGTCTAAGAAAACTCAAAAAATTTCTGCCATTCAGCTATTAAGCTTACCTGGATAAAGGATTTAGGAGGAGAGGGCTGCAGGAATGCGTTCATTTAACAAGTTCTACCAACATTTGGTATTGACATGAATTTGTGCTTGGTGATGATAATTGAGGCTTGAATCCTCTTTCAAGAAAAATTACAGTTTCATCTTAAAATAATAGATACCATTCTTGGAGGTAGACAAATACATAATTCTTGAACACTTTCCAGTGTTAAACCAGCATAATCTTTAAGAGGACCCCTTGCAGAGTGGGCAGTATCCCTGGGACCATGCTGTAAAGCCAGAAGCTACATTAAAATTGTGGTGACCACTCAGTCTGTAGTGTGCTGGATGGGCTTTCATGGCTCCCTGTCTTTGATTGAGTCCTAGCCAGTCTAAGGAAACTTCTCAAAAAGTTACTGCCATTCAGCTATTAAGCTTACCTGGACAGAGGATTTAGGAGGAGAGGGCTGCAGGTATACGTTCATTTAACAAGTTTACTAGCTTGAGATAGGTACAGTGGAGGATGGATGAGCAAAGTAGACAGAGTCCTGCCCGCACAGAACTTACAGTCTAGTAGGTTTGGATAAAATGACTGTGATGGCCTTAGTCATATTTTTGGCTACTTAGTCCGTTGAACTTATGGGTTAGAATTAAGGGTTTGTGGGTTAGTCCTGGGCCTTTGCTACACTTTGAGACTCCTCTATTTATCTTTCATTTATACAAGGGGTGCCCCCCAAAATGTATACACATTTTAAGTGAGTTAGCTTTGTATTACTTTTTGAAGTTGGATTAAATTGTGGTAGCAATGTGTAGTATGACATTTGCTCAATTGCTCTTCTGCTATTTCCTTTGTCCTGCCTGTCTCATGGTGACGCTAGCATTCATTTGATGAATGCCATCTTTTTTACAATCTCCTACGTTCATTGAAAAGCAATTTTGTAATAATGTTAATTTAAAGGTCATGCCTATTCTTTACAAAATAGTAGAAATTTGTAACTCTTTTATAATAGAAAATAACATTGGTGGCCCTTCTGGCCCAGCTTCACATAGTTTTTTTTATAGGATACCCTTAAAAGAGCAGAAATAGGGAAAAGAGAAATACTGCCATAGTTCAAGATCAACCGGGTTGTTTTTGCCTTGAATTTTCGTAAATAATCCCTTCAGCGGCACCATACAAGCCTTACCTCAGCCGCAGCTACATGGAAGAACCTAAAAGTGAGACACCCTTGCCCTGCTCCATCAGGGAAGGAGAGACCACAGTCTGCTGTTGAGGACACCTGAGGACCGCTGGGGGACCCCCGGTTTCCAGCCCCTTTAATATGCCCCAAAAGGAGCATGTCCTTCTGGAGGCCTGCACTCCCTCATGGGGAGTGAGAAGTGTGCCGGTCTCTTACCTGGGGCAGCGTTCCTCTCACTAGTGCAGGGATATCAGCCTTGGAGTAACCCACGGCTGCTAGGCCATCATCAACATCCAGGTCAAACAAGAATTTCCGGAGCGTGTCTGCCAACACAGGCCCAGCATCCTGGATCCTGGCAGTGCGGGTGTCAGCTCCTAGAAGACACAGAGCAGTAACTATAGGGAGAGACCAAGAAATGGGCTCTGGGTGGAGTTCGGTCACAAGATCAGTGAACACAGAGTGTGCATCTATTGGGTCTCCCTAACACTGGGACACTGTGTGCCTCCCTTGAGGCCAGCCTGAGTTGGCCGGGGGAGTTCACTTGGCTCTCACGTTTCTGAGGGACTGCCAAATCCTACATGCTGGTCCCTTGTGTGGTGGGAACAGCCAAGAACTGAAGCACAGAACGAAGACCAAGAAAGAAGGCTGGTGTTTGGATGAGGAGGAATGAATGCCTGTAGGAGAAAACACAGCTTATGTAATTTTCAAGGCCTGGAATTTGCTGACATCTAGAGGTGTATGTGTTCAATGTCTTTTTTTGCAGCAACAGCTTAGAAAAAGATAAACCTTTTGCAAACAAACACCATGTGAGACAAGGCTATAGAAGTTCAAAAACTCCAAAACTAACCACTGAGAAGGAAGAAAATAGATTATGTGCTATAAAACTTTTTAAAGATTGGGCACAGTGGCTCACACCTGATATCCCAGCACTTTGGGCGGCCTAGGCAGGAAGATTGCTTGAGCCCAGGTGTTCAAGCCTAGACAACATAGCGAGACCTTGTCTCCACAAAGAAACCAAAAATTAGCTGGGTGCGGTGATGTGTGCCTGTAGTCCCAGCTACTTGGGAGGCTAAGGTGGAAGGATTGCCTGAGCCCAGGAAGTCGAGGCTGCAGTGAGCTGTGATTATTGCTGCTGCACTCCAGCCTGGGTGATAGAGTGAGACCCCAACTCAAAAAAACAAAACAAAACAGTTTTTAGTTTAGACTCTTGCCAAAGGGCAAGGTAGGTTCCTCTAAATAAATATTATAGAACCAGTTAGAACCAAGATCGTGAAGACTCTCAGAAAACTGTGCTGCATATGCAGATAATAATGATGATGGTGACATGGGAAGAAGTTTGCCAAGGCTGGAGATTTGTAATGGCAGAAGCTTGATGTAATTAATAATTAAGACACATAATCATAGAGCTGTCAATCTGGAAGAACCCTGCATGGGGTTGTGTTCTCAGACAGGGTGGCAAGTGAAAGATCCCAGAGGAAGGGAACTGATTTTACAACCCTTAGCACTCTCACCCCATCTCTTCTAGTCGAACACATTCACTGCCAAGAAGTGAAGCCCTCTACAAATTGAAAAGAGCACTATATGAAGTCTGTCCGAAATGCCTCATGTAGCAGTTCAAGTCCATTTTCTCTCGTGGTATTCAAAAGGAGGCCAGATCGTGCAGTTCACCTCCATATTGAAGCCCACCGTGAAAGTGGTTTCTAGCCCTCTCTTTGTGAGAATTGTTTTAGTAATCCTGGGAAAGGTATGAACAGAACATACAGGGCTAGTTGGGAGAGCAGCCGCATGAAAGGTAAACCCTTGCCCAACAAGACCAGTCTGTATTACTCTAGCAGCAGCTAAAATACGGATTAGGTGGAGAGGCGACACATGATACAAGGTTTATGAGGTTTTTATGTTCCCGGGATTGCTGCCATAAAACACACCATCAAAACCTCTGCATTTTCCTATGAAGTGTTTCAGAAAAGAGAAAGAAAAAAAAAAAAAAAGGCGTAGGGAAGAGAACACATTGATTTAAACCTGAGAAAATCTAAGATTACTCAGAGACTCAAAATATTGAATAGCTAAATGTGGAATAATGTAAAAATTTCCTGTTCCAAGAACAATTGGTGTGTTCTTTCAGCTTGAATTTTGTCTAACAGAGGAACTGCCTTCTCAGTAATGTTGCTGATTGCCTGGATTTGTTAATTTTAAGTTTTCTAAGACTTTCCCATGTGCCATTAATCTTATGACCTGAGTGCCCCTCCTTGCCTTATTTACACTGTTTGTGTATTTACAAAGATAGCTGAGTTCCAACATCTCTTGTCTGAGAGGGAAAAGGGATCCTTGGCAAAGATGGCACTATTTTCTGAAGCACCCATGGGGATATGGAACCCAGGGCCTCCTCTCTGCCCTGGCTTGTGTCATTAACATTCCCAGCACAGCACCTGGGCCTCAGCGAGCACTCAAAGGAGGATGTCTGCGGTCCTTCCTACCTTCTTGGAAGTAATCTCTCCAACGGCTGGGCTAGAAGAACATAATGAAGTTTTCTTTTTAGCCTTTCCTTTCCTTTCCTAACTAAACACAAGTGGTGGAATAAGGTGTTTTGCAAGTTAATCAAATACTCAGTTCTACTTAAAATAGTTCTTGTACTAGAAAAACACCGCATTTTACTTACAGTGCATTAAAGTTGTCTTGAATATCATTTTATTTCTGGTAAGATTCAAAAGGCACTGTGGATTTGTTACAGACATTTATTTATCCTACAGTATGGCAAATAGATTCCTCTTTTGAGATAGTTTTATAAAGTTTCTAGTTTAGATTCTCTATGACTGGGAATTCACTGTTGCTTCCAGATTAGATTCATTTTATTATCAATTCAACATAGCAAAAGCTATTTATAACATTAAAAGTATATAAAGAGTTATCCTTTCTTCTCCTATGAAAACAGAGGAAACTTTTTTGAACAGTAAGCTGTTTTCAGTTTTCACACGTATTATATACAGTAATTACACAAACATAACAGAATCAATATTTGATTCCATTTCATTGTGAATAGACTCTTAGAAGCATAACATTACTGAATTTTAGTGGTAGATATAGGACTTTGGACAAATCACTGACATTTTATTATTAAGCAATATGTTTTTTTGGTATTATCTTTTATGGGTTATCTTCAGAAGCAACCCTAGAAAATGCTCTGCCTGTGTGGGCCACAGATTTATGAGTAATCGTTCATACCTAATATTTCAGCTGTCTCCAGGTGCCGCTCCGGAAACATCTGGGCTGTGAAAGTGAATACTGCTGGGGATGTGAGCACCACAGAAAGGCCATGGGGCTGGGGAGAAATGGAACACAGTGACTGACAGGGGGCAAAACTGTTCTTTTCTGTATATTCTATATATTAGGTTACTCTGAGCATTCAGAATTGACAAACTTCCATGGAAATTGTGAAGAATATTACTATTTAATTAAATAATTTATTATTATTAATTATTTTTTACCACTAGTGGGTGATCCACATTGTAATCCTTTGCTTTATATTTCTTCACTAAACCTGAAATTGGGTAAGACATTCCATGGCTAGAAAAGAAAGAAAATCCTATGTTGACATGCAGATATCAGAATTCAAGTAAACAATTCAAAGACACTCTTATGAGGAGCCTATCACAGTCTCTGAACAGTATTATTACCTTGCAAAGTTAATGTTCAGTGTTCTTGGATAAAAGGACGTATTATGATGCATAGTACGTTTAGCATATTCATTAACAAAACCTCTGAAATGTTCAAGTTCAAATGCTCACAGTACCGAATGTCATTAAAGAGTATTAGCCAGGTGCAGTGGCCCATGCCTGAAATCACAGCACTTGGGAGGCTGAGGGGCTAGGATGCTTGATCCCAGGAGTTGGAGACGAGCCTGGGCAACACAATGAGATTTTGTCTCTACAAAAAAATAAATAAACAATTAGCTGGGCATGGCGGTGCATGCTTGTAGTCTCAGCTATTACAAAGGTTGAGGTGGAAGGATCACTTGAGCCCGCGAGGTCAAGGCTGCAGTGAGCCATGACGTGCCACTGCAGTCCAGCCTGAGCGATGAGACCCTGACTCAAAAAAAAAAAAAAACATGCTGGTTAACCTTATGATCTCGAAGAATTGAGAAATCACTTTGAAGTTCTGTACTAAGCTCTCGGTGTGTGTTTGTTCTTTTGCCCCAGCACCTCCTTGGCAGGATGCTAATGCTCACACCGATGATCAAACCAGAGGGAGTTTTGTGAGTGAGGGTGTGCTGCATTTGATAACATACAAGCCTGACCTACCTGTGATCTGTCCTGCCAATAATTGATAGATCCTTTCAAATATTATATACGAATGAGTTAAGTCATCAATGATTATTTTAGCCTAGGGACTATGTTAATCAATCCTATTTTGACTGATTTCTCTTGCCTGAGTTCTACCTTAAGGATTTATTTAGATTTAGTTGTCATCCAGAAAAGGCACTTTGGTTTTTGTTTTTACTGAAAGATTCTTATATTCTCTTGACTTCTAAGTAAACAAATATAAAAATATAGTTGACTAAATGATATAGAAGATAAGCATCGTAACAAGTCAATACATTAACAGTTAATATGCTAAAAATGAAATAAATGCTTTATGTGAGTAAAATGGTTCATATGTCTTTTTTAATTTTAGTTTTAATTCATTTATCTTATTTTTTTTGTAGAGATGAGGTCTCACTGTATTGACCAGGCTGATCTGGAACTCCTGGCCTCAAGTGATCCTCCCACCTTGGCCTCCCAAAGTGTTGGGATTACAGGTTTGAAGCCATCACACCAGGCCTGTGCCTGTAAGTTTTTTAATGTGGGTTATTGGATGACTTTGTGGTTATTTAGCAAAAGATTCACATTTCATGGAAAGAATTATTTTGGTGAACTGTATAAATATCTATCTACAAAAAGGTGCCCCCCGACCATCCTTCATGACACACATTGAAAATTACTGGTTCTTGGAGTTGTTGGGTTCTTTGGAATGTGCTTTACTTCTCTTGGGCTTCACAATATTCAGAGAATTACTGCTGAGTGTGTTTTCATTATATTAAAGGGTTCTTGTAGCTTTTAAAAGTAACTTTCAAGCAATATTCAATATTTTGAGTTGATTGTTTTTAACAGTTTTTATGTTCTTTGAAGAAAATAAAAATTATCCAAAATCCTATTTTCTTCTAGTCATTTGATGCATATATCTAATTTATAATCACAGTATGCATGTAGTGTTATACATTGCTTCTGCTATTTAATATTATTGGTAAACATTTTCTCATATAATTTTCTGTTCTAAAACTTTATTTTTAATGGCCTGGTTTTATTATTTAAGTACTGTACTTTAGTTAACCATTCCCAAGCTGTTGGAAATTTAAGTTGATTCTTAACTTTTCAATTATAATTGGCACTTAGCTGAACATCCGTATATAGAAATTTTTTATCATATCATGGGTATTTCTTTAGGCTAGATTACTAGAGTTGAATTAGTGGGCCAAGGGGTATAAATATTTTTCAATCTCTGGGTACATTTTGCTCAATTGCTTTTTGGAAAGATATTACCAATTTATGCTCCCATCGGCGGCAGAGTTTGAGGATGACCATTCCATTGCACTCACCCTAAGCACGGCTTAGTTTTAATTCTTAGTGTTCATTGATTTCAATTTTAAAGCAACATACCAAAAAGTTCCAATCAAAGAGATTAATCCTGGGTTATTGACTAACATTCTGATACTTCTCTTTTTTGTGTGAGAGATTAGAGAAAAAACATCCTGCATTTAAATTTTAAAAATCCTCAATACATGGTGAGGATGTGCCCTCTCCACTGAGTGGGAATGTAAAATGGTACAGACGCTGTGGAAAACAGTCTGGCAGTTTCTCAAAATTTAAGCACAAAATTACCGTATGACCCAGCAATTTCACTTTTTTTTTTTTTTTTTGAGTTGGAGTCTCACTCTGTCACCCAGACTGGAGTGCAGTGGCCACTCCCGGCCACCGTAGCCTCGACCTGCTGGGCTCCGGCGATCCTTCCGCCTCAGCCTTTCAAGTAGCTGGAACTACAGGCGCGTGCTACCACACCCGGCTAATTTTTGATTTATTGTAGAGACGAGGTCTCGCCAAGTTGCCCAGGCAGGTCTCGAACCCTCAGGCTCAGGCAATCCACTCACCTCGGCCTCCCAAAGCACGGGATTACAGGCTGAGCCACCGAGCCCAGCTCACTTCTACATATATAACAAGATAAATGAAAACATGTCTGTACAAAAACTTGTACACTACTGTTCATAGCAACATTATTCATAGTGGTCAAAAGTAACAATCCAAATGTTCATCAACTGATGAAAAGATAAAATGTGTTATATCCATACAATGGAATGCTATTTGGCAATAAAAAGGAATGAGGAACTGATGCATGAGTGAAACTTGGAAACATTATGCTAAGACAAACAAGCCAGACACAAACGACCACATATTATGTGATTCCATTTATATTAAATGTCTAGAATGGGGAAATCTATAGAGATAGAAAGTAAATCAGTAGATAGAAAGTAAATCAGTTTACTGGGAGAGGTGGAGGAATTGGTGGATGACAGCTAGGGGGGTACGGGATTTCTTTGGGGGCAATAAAATGTTCTAAAACTCATTGTGGCAATGGTTGCACAACTTTTGTATACATTAAAACTCATTGAACTGTACATTTTTAGTGGGTAAATTGTAGAGCTTGTGAATTATATCTTAAAAATCTGTTAAAAACAACATGTGACCCAATAAATACATTTAAATTAAGAATATCTTTAGGGACTTAAAGTTACATTTCTTCCTCAATATTTAAATTTTACTACCTGTTCTGAATTACAAACATGTTTTAAACATGTAAAAGCAATAACTTGAGTAAATAAATGAAATCTCAAATTCACTCACCACAGATGAACACCAGCATTTCCAAAACCAATGCCAGCAAAGGCACTTGCCAAGTGCATATGAGACCTTGCTTCGAGATCATCAGGATTTCTGACAGCCCTGTGAATGATATAAACACCTAACAATAACACATCAACATTGGCATTTCCTACCGAATAAAGAATAGCCTTAGGGAAAGATAAGGAAAAACAGAAATGCTACTTGGTAGGAAGAACAATTTGGGAAGTTATTCAAACGACGGCTTGTCTTCTAAATGAAAACTGAAGGGAAACATATTTTCTCATCCGTGATTTCAGCAAAGGCATAATAAATATGCTGTCAGCTGCTCATGTGACATAAAAGTGCCGGAGGAAGCAACATACTGATGCTTGGACTGTGAGAGTTGCTCTAGGAAAGTGCCTTGAAACTCATTCCTCTTCTTCATTTGTCAATGCCCTTGATGGCAGCTGTGAGTGGACATAGAGTAAACATATTCTCAGAGTACACCAGGCGAGACCAGCTTGCTGAAGTGAGCCCCTGTCGCCTGGAGCTACCAGCAGGCCAGACCCAGCCTGGCCAGTCATCCTTCTTTCTGTAACACTGCCTCAAATCAGATCCATCTGTGGGAAACGCACATATCCTTACATTATTATTGTGGAAGGGGTTGTTGATATAAGACAAACCCTTGCTTGGTCTGTGTGTCCTCAATACCACCTCAGGAAGGCAAATTCTCAAAGGCCCTTTTCAGTTTCTATTCAGCCCTTCTGCACTCACGGAATGGAAATTCTGCCCCAGGTTCCCTTGGCAGGAAGCCTCGGCACTGCCAAGAGAACCTACTTCTCCCTTGTATTTTTTTGCAATTTTGCCTTGAGTAAGTGTTCCTGTTATGAATAAAAGTGCCGTAGACTTTTTTCTTCTTTCCTTTGGAATAGTCCTTTCATTTGGAATGGTCAGGCATTCGTACTGCCTTTGCAAAACCCAATATTCCTTATTCCCTGAATGACAAGGTGAAGTAGCAGATAATGGGGCTTCCAGCTTTTCCTCTGTCCATCTCTCCCCTTCATCTCCCACTGTGGCTTTGCCAAGCCTGTGTCCCTGCCAAACAAACTAGCTCCCTATGATCTCTGTCTGCTTGTCTCTAGTTAAATGCTGCTCTCTTTCCCCAGGGGTCTCCCACAAACCTGAAATAGTTCCAGGTCTCTTCTCCCTGCCTGACAATTAAGTTCAAGAACTTGCCACTGTGCGCTTGCATTGGCAGCACTGTACAAACAGCTCAGTAAGGTTTCAGAACCTTGGTATGTAAGTGTCTCATAGCTGTGTTTGTGTCCACGTGTGGCAGTGTCTTGCTGAGTGGCGTTCATTATTGTTGTTGCAGGTTTTTGTGTTCCATCGTGAAAATGCAGGAGCTTGAATTAGAACCAGGAACAAACATTAAATTTATTGTTAAACTTGGCAAAAGTGAAAGTAAAATCAGAGCCATATTGGTCCAAGATAATGCCATGAAGAAAATGGCAGTGTACTAATGGATTAAACGTTGTTCTAAGAGGAAAGAAAGTATTACTGATGAAGAGAGGTCAGGTCAGCCAGTAATGAGCAGAGCTGATGAAAACATTGCAAAAATTCAACAAATTGTGCATCAGAATCATCGGCTGACTGTGAGAAGCATAGCAGATCAAATAAACTTTGATAGAGAAACAGGAAAATCTTGGCATGAGAAAGGTGTGTGCAAAATGGTCCTAAAGGAGCTCTTGCATCACGACAATTCACCAGCTCACACAGCACTGTCTGTGAGGGAGTTTTTAGCCAGTAAACAAGCCCCCTCCCTACTCACCGGATCTGATCGCTAATGAATTTTTTCTTCACCTGAAGATAATGGAAATCCTGAAAGGAGACATTTTGGTGGCATTCACGGTAATACAGTGACAGCTCTGATGGTCATTCCAGAAAAAGAGTTCCAAAATTGCTTTGACAGGTGGACTAGGGACTAGTGTCAGTGCATAGCTGCCTAAGGGGAGTCCTTTGAAGGTGACCCCTTTGAATACTGATATTCAGCAATGAGGTGTATAGCACATTTTCTAGGATGAGTTCGTGAACTTAATTATCAGACATACTACAAAGTGCAGCCCCAAGGCCCCCATGTCAATAGAGTTTCTAGCTCAAGGCCTGACATGTTCATGTCTAGGCCTAGCCTACCTGTGCCTTTCCCTCCAATACATATAAATACAAAAGTGAGTCCAACTTTGCATCTGTCCTAATGACTCAGGTATCCGCTTTCATCTCTAATATGTCTTTGCTCTCTTGGAGCTTTGCCCTCCCACAGCTTATGGCTATGAATGCATGTATATATGTATTGATATTAAAAAATCTTTCAGTCTTTTAGGAATCCTTTTACATTTTCTATCTCTTATGTCTCCTGGGACAGCAATCTCTACACATTTATTTCTTAAATTTAGTTCAAGTGAGTTTACTCAATGGGTGGGTGAATACCACCGACATCCTTCTGCCTGAGTGGGTCTCATTTCTGCCCCGGGTAGCCAAATCTCAAGAGATATCACCCCTCATCCTAGCTTTGGTTTTGAAACTTAGATGAACAATGCTCTATTTATTTTATCTGCATCCTTCATAAATTAGGGGCTCCTATTTTATCTATAGGCAGCCTTCAGTTTTTCAGACTGAAGGATCCAGTTTTCATCTGCCCAGGCCTCTGATCCTACCAGAGGCTGCTGGTGTCTGGTGCTTCTGTGCGTCCATTTGACTGATCTTCCAGTGAACAGACCTTCTTGGGATATTTCAGGATCAAGCACATCATGTTTCATTTGAGGGCAGCATGTGGGTTGCTGTTCTGTTTCTGTCCCCTTTGGGATGACATACCTCTTCAGATACTTAGCAACAATCCGCAGCGCATGGACCGCCCAAATGTCGCTGATTGGGTTGCTGCCCTGGTATGCCGGCCGAGTGATAGGATTTGAAGGGCAGGGGCTCCGCATGTGGTAGGGGATGGCAGTGTATGACTCCAGGGCATGGCTACAAGAAATATTTAAATTACACAGATCGAAAGGCGTGGTCTGCCTCCTTTCCTGCCTTTAGATTATAAACTGTCTTGGAAATGCTTAGCATTCACTCCACTACGGATATGCTATTCAGTGTTGATGATCACAATCCATGTTAGTCATCGCTTATTGGAGAAAATAATACAGTCAAGTTTACACTAACAGCATGGCAATGTTTTTGGCTGGTACATATAAGATTACATATCGCTCTTTTCTAGTATAAGTAAATCTTTATAATGCTGAATTATTATACATTTGAGCCATGAGAAAAGCACTGAATCTAAAAAACAAATGACTTCCTTGTAGAAGATATTTACCATTTTATCCCTTGCATTAATCAAATGCCACTGAGATCATAGTTACACTAGACTCCTGTTATGAGTATGGTGTAGTGGGTGAGAACACAGACTCTGAGGTCAGCTGCCCAGATGTCAGTTCTGGCACTGGATCTTCCCACTGTGGATGTAGGCAAGGCAATACCCTTCCTATGATTCTAAGACAGGGAAAAATAATAATATTGCTTCATGGTGCAGCTGTGAAAGCTATATGAGTTGATCCATGTAAAGTATTTAGAATAGTGCCCAACCAACCTGGGTAACACAGCAAGACCTAGTCTTTACAAAAAGTAAAAATAAGCTGGGTTCGGTGGCTCAGCCTGTAATCCCGCGCCTTTGGGAGGCTGAGGTGAATGGATTGCCTGAGCCCGCGGGTTCGAGACCTGCCTGGGCAGCGAGACCTCATCTCTACAATAAATCAAAAAATCAGCTGGGCATGGTAGCGCATGCCTGTAATTCCGGCTACTCGGAAGGCTGAGGCGGAAGGATCGCCGGAGCCCAGCAAGTCGAGGCTGCGGTGGCCGGGAGCGGCCACTGCACTCCAGTCTGGGCGACAGAGTGAGACTCCAACTCAAAAAAATATCAA